AACTGTTGGAAAATGTTTACTTTTAACCTCTAAAATGCACCGAGGATATTCACTTTTACATCGGAAACCACCCACAAAGTTTGAAATCGAAGCATTATTTCGACTAGTTATGCTGTACACAGACACAAAAACAAAAAAACAAAAAACACACATCATTGTAAAATCAATACATTCATCACTTCGTTCAGAATCTAAAATTAGAGTGGAATGTTAATTCACCTCTTATAAAATGTTAAGGTAAAATTATTATCTAAGACATCTCATAGACTTTTTATTGTATTTTAATTTTAAAGAATGTAGTGGGTATTTTAAGAAGTACAAATAATTTACAATTTTGAAATACTCATAACTCACATTAAAATTAAAATATAATAAAAATCTCATGAGATGCTCTTGATACTAATTTTACCTTTAAATTTTTTATGAGATCAATTCACTCTAATTTTAGATTCTGAGTGGAGCGATGAATGTATTGATTTTACCATGATATGTGTTTTTAAGCTTGCTGAGCAACACATTGGCTGTGTTAACAAAAGTCTGTATTTCACCCTCTTTAACCTTTTTCATTTTTGTTTCATAATTAATAAATATAAAAATAAAAACCAGTGAATCCCCCCACCTTAATTTATTATTGAATCATGGTAACATTGGTTAAATAGATACCTTTGCTATTGTCACAAAATACTACCTATACCTTCTTCTAAAAGAGAAGCCACCAGACGGCTATAGGCAAACCGGTTTTGGTACGTAAATCTGGTGTCTTCATTTTTGGAACAAGGTATATATACTTTTGAAAAATTAAAAAATGAATTATTTTACTATTATTTTTAAGTTTATTTAAATATTTAAAAATAATGTCTATTGAAGAAATTTGAGTTTTTTTAATTCCTATAAAGTATGTTAGTAGTCAAAAAACAAAAAATACTGAAATTCAGTATAGGAATACTCTATTAAAAATCAGAATTATCAATTTGTTGATTAAATCAGAATTATTAATTGGCTATAAAATATTATATTAGTATGTATCATGTTTCATTTTTATMACTAACAATTTGAAAGATACCAAACAATTTCCATGAATTGATACAATAATAGGACATTAGTGTATTACACAATCAACTCTATCATCTTGTAATGTTCCGCCTAAATTAGAAATAAAGAATCCTCAAATATTATACAAAAATCTACTTATAAGAACATTGAAAATTAAAGTTAAATTTATTGATAAATTATTATTTTAAGTAGATATGTATTTAAAAAAAAAAAATACCAATAGTAGTAACAATTGTATCATTAAATTTAAAATACTGTCATAATCATAATTCTCCTAGTTACAAAATAAATAGCCTTTGTAAAAATATTATTTACCTAGCTTTATTCCATAATTAATAATTATGATAATTATTATCCAGCTAAGATTGAAAATATATTTATTCAATTCAAATGCAAAATTCCAGACATCTAAACATTACATTAGTTAAACCACTTTAACTCTCATATCCAAAACTTATTTCAGCATTCTTTAGCATTGTTATCTTAGTCAGTGTTATCAATGTAGTTTATTATTACGACAGGGATAATGACGAGTACAATACAAATATTTATTATATTTTTTTTTCTGCTTCTGCATGTGTGTGACTTGTGATAATTATCCATAATGCTTGTATGAAATTACTATTTCCTGGGACCATCAAATTATGCTATGATAAATCAATCAGATAAGATTTAATATACATATACTAATCTATTTAAATTGTGTTTTTTAATGAAAAGTTAGGATACTAGCTACTAGTTAAATAATATTATTGTACAGAATTCGTCATTTTGATTTTATCATTCTTATGTTACAATATAAATGTGTGAAGTATTGTTGGTTAAATATATTAACTATTTAACTAGATCAAGTTAATATTTCTCAAATATTGAAATATTTATAAAATTAATTTGATTAAATTATTTTTTAGGACTGAAATCGATCCAGATAATTTAGAGCATGAAGGTTATATTAAAGGTTTATTTGTGTCTTTTGTTGATGAAATAGTATCTAAAGCTAATTCTATGGTAACAAATGAACAGTTTGCCAGTAAACTGAAACTAATTGATGCAGCAAAATTATATAAAGTGAGTATTTATATCATATATGTATTCAATTTTAGGACATGATATATTAATAAAAGTATAAAACAAATAATATTTTTTTTAGAAAATTTTAAACTTTATTTGTTATTATTTTTATAGGAAAAATACTCTCAAAACCCAAAAGAGTTGATAAGAATAATTAAGAAGTGTTTGGAATCAGAGTCCATGATGGCTCAACAAAATAATGTGTGTAATTTATAATGTTTATATTTATTTATAAAAACCAATAACCTTTAAATTTTAATAAATTGGATACATCTTGAGTTTTGCATGGATTGTATTTTCCATATCTTTATCATTCTATCACATTCTCTATGAAAATAGAAGAAAAAATAATCTATTATAGATAATTTATAGTAAACAGTATTCGAGTTTAATAATAAAAAGTTCTTTAAATTCTTTGAGAAACAAATAAAGAATACTGACGCTACTTGATAGCAGATCAAATTAAGAAATAATTTGGGGATTTTAGGAGCTAATCCCCCTCCCAATTTAAGCCTATTCTAAACTTTTTAATTCATTAATAATTAGGAGTAATAATATAATATAATAATTTATTACCACAAACTATTCTGTATTTGTTTGTATTTAATCAAATGATTACTGGTAAATAAACTTAAATTATTGTATTGTATTGTAATCTATTCAGTTTCAATATTTTTAAATTATTAAATTAAATTATTGTAAAATATTATGAGCTGAGCTGATATATTATTATATTAACAATAATTAAATTTGAAAATTTATACATTTTATATAGTCTCTAATGGAGGTCAATGTAAAACCTTCCCAAGAAATAGAAAACATTGAAATTATGCAACAGATGGAATTGATAAGTAACCATGTTGCTCATACAAATGAGATTCGCATGACAATTCAATCAGACATTGATTCTTTTAATATTMTGTATTCTGAATGTACTAAGTGTACTCGTAAGTTTAGAAAATTATAAACTATTATCATGTATATTAGTAAATATCTGTATGTTCCAGAACATCTACAACACATGAGAAATCAAAGAATGAGCATTCCTCAAGGACCTGAAATTGAACGTAAATTAAAACAGGAAAAAGAGTTGTATGAAGGACAATTAAAGACTCAATCATTAAGTCTTAACAATGCTCTCTGTGTCTACATAAACAAACTTAATGAATCATTAAATTTGCTCAGTCCTGTTCAAGCTCATATTATTGATAAGGCATTAATTCAGTGGAAACGTGAACAACAATTAGCTGGTAACGGATATAAATACATGAAGGATATAGATGTCATACAAACTTGGTACTTATAAGAACTTACTATTAAATTAATATTGAATCAGTTAAATATTATGCAATATTAAATTCTTAATTAGGTGTGAGAAATTATGTGATTTAATATGGATAACTCGTTCACAAATTAAAGAAGCTGATCGTTTTAGAGTGAATTTGGGTCGTTATTTTGAATTACCTCAATCGTGTGAAATAATAAACACGCTTCTTGATATGACAACACAATATCTTTCATCGTTAGTGGCAAGGTGTGTTCTTTGTAATTTAAATTTATTTTACCATTCTTATTTC